TAATTTTTAAAATGTTCAAATTGATCCCTTAATTTTTTTAAATAGGCCACGTTCGTCCTTTCGTTTGTCTCCATTAGTGAGGATTCAAAAAGAATTCCATGTGGCCTTGACATGGCTTCAATGTCCTTACGTGGCTTTGATGTGGCTTAAACATGTTATATGTTATGCTTTTGTGAACCTTGTCATTTTGAGAAAGCCAAGGGAAGGAACTTTGAAGGTGAAAAACATTGTGTAGAGAATAACTTTAAAGGTGAAAAGCATTGTTCAAGAAAGGGTGGTCGTTCGAGCGAAAGGTTGAAATCATCGTTGCAGACAGGTTAGAAAGTTGTTCCTTTGAATGAGTTTTACACGTTTTCAATATGTGAAATTAGGTTTTTTTTTAATTAGGGCTTTACATGTTTTCAATCTTAGAAATTAGAGATTTTAATAATATCGATTCTAAACTGGCTAGGTGTAATGGACGAGTTTATAGTACTAAGAATTCATCATAATGGTGAATTCGTTGATGGTGGTCTTAAAGTGTTTGAAGAAGGGAAGTTGATGAGCTGAAAGTAGATATGGACAAATGGAGTTACTTTGAGTTGATTGGTTCATTGAAGGTGATGATGCTCTATCGGTAGCTTTTGATGATTCTTATGATGGATTTGATGATATAGATGAAGATGAGTTAGCAAATCTGCTTGAACATGAACAACTTGAAAAAGGACAATCCAAAAACAAAAAGAATAATAGGAAGAAGACAATAGTGAATATAAGTGAGTGATAATGAAAGTGATGAGCTAGTGAGTGGTTGTGATAGTGATGATAATTGTGGTGTTCAAAAAAGGCTCACCCAATGTTTAAGATGCAAAAGGACATGACTGATTTCAAATGGGAGGTAGGTGCGTACTTTAGTTCAAAAGATGATTTCAAGGAGGCAATAACATCATATGTTGTCCATAGCGGTTAAAATCTTAAGTTCAGTAAAAATGACAAGGTAAGGGTGAGGGTAAAATGTAAGAATGGGTGTGTTTGGGAAGCTTATTGTTCCAAATTGTCAAATGATGAAACTTGGAAATTAAGGAAGGTGAATGATGTACATAGTCGTAGCAGGGAGTATAATATGAAGCTGGCGACTACCAAGTGGCTGAGCAAGAGGATCGAAAACTCTTTAAAAACCAATCCTAGGATGAAAATAAAGGATATAAAGGCAAAGGCAACAAAATAAGTGGAATGTAGGTGTGAACAAAACTAAGGAAATAAGAGCAAGGTTTAAAGCAAGAGATTATGTTGAATGATCATTCTTAGGGGATTACACCAGAATATATGCTTATGTATGTCATTTGAATTGCTGTCATTTTGTGTAAAGGATATGGATGTCATTTTGAATAAGTTTATATGTTATTGACAATTATGTGTTATGTTGAAATTCTGTTAATGACATGTTTATATGTTATGACAATCATGTGTTATGTTTAACAATTAAACAATGTTACAATGATATATTTCACTACTAAATGGCACAAAAATCAACTGATGCAAACCAACACATTTCATTATTACAACATAAAAAACCATAACTGCTACAAGGTTTAAGGTTCAACTAATTTGGAATACAAACTTAAACATTTCAATTCATCATGAAAAAAACCAGAACTGCTGCAACTACAATAACAAACATCATCCAACATTTTTTCCACTTCAAACATTTGTTGCATCATGAGCTAATCCATCCCTTCCTTAATTCTTCATTTGTCAACCTAACTTTTTTAATCTCCGTTGTTGCATCATCCGATTTATTTGATAACTTTTCCAATCTAGAAATTATAATTCGCACTTTGTCATCTTGAACTTCCTCATATAACCATTCAAAATACCCACACCCAAGTTGCATTATTCCCTCCAATTTACAATGGATTATTCAAAATTGTAATAAGCATACAAAACCCTTGTACATATGACATACATAACTTAAAATGAGAACAACCCCAAAAATGTTTTCCATAGCTCTTTGTCGTGGTATACCTATGAAGAATAGTCGTGTCTCCACAATTACAACTTGGTTTCCATGGAAGATTCGAGCTCGTGAACACACTGGTGTTCAGACTTTCATGGCTTTTAATTTTCATGGAGGATGAAGCATAAATTGATTTCATGGAGGATGAACGCTAATCTTCAATTTTTGGGAATCAAAATCAATTTAACATAACTAAACCCTACGAAGGAAAATGAAGAAAAACGAAAATGCAGATCATGGTGAAATAGAGAAAGGAAAAAGAAGAAGACAAGCCATGTCATCTGCCACGTCTTCAGCCTTAAACGTCAGTTTGGAGTAAATAGACGGAAAGGACTCGTCTGCTTCGTTTTAAATGATTAAGGGATCAATTTAAACATTTTAAAAATTAAGGGACCAAAATAGACCCCGAGGTAAAGTTAAGGGACAAAAAAAGGTATTTTGCCTAAATTTAAGGCATTTGAAGAAGAGAATAAAAGGTGATAATGGAAGAGTTATTTAATGTTAGTTTCTAACTACATTTATACACATGATCTATGTAATTCATCCAAAACCACAAACTTAATATTGTCATTACTTAAGTCTAACTCGGATTCACCTTTAAGTTAAGACACACCTACACACGTGTCTCTAAGTCTCACAACACCAATAAATAATGTAGACACAAGTGTTTCATCTAAAGACCACAATCTATTACTTAATTCATAAAATCAATACACACCACCTTGCCAAAATAAGTTATTACGTTGAGAATTACTAAGTGATTCCTCACATGTGTCAAACACTTTTTAGACTGCACCTAATACATCAACTTCACATGTATTTCCTCAGTTACCATCTGTGTCAGTTAGACATATATGACAAGGTCATGCCACAATTTCATAAACTAGTGAGTCAATTATTGGTACCTTAACGAAATTATTTGAGTCACTTTCACCATCCTTTCACACTCAACTCAATCAAAACCCGCTTCTAGTTAATGACAATCCTATGTTAATTAGGGATAAAATTGGAAAATCCAAACCTAAAGGATTCTAATTCCATTCAGAACCAAGTACATCTAAGAAAGCCTTGGCTCAACCTGAGTGGTTTGAAGCTATGAAAAATGAATATGACTCCCTTATAAAGAATGATACCTGGGTCATGAAAACCTTACCACCACGTAGGAAGAAAATTGGTTTCAAGTGGGGTTTTAAAGTTAAAGAGAATGAAAATGGTAGCATAAATAAGTACAGAGCACGATTAGTGGCTAAAGGCTTTAAGCAACAATATGGTTTTCATTACTCACTTTAATAATAACTTGCAAACGGGAGTTGAAACAAATAGACATCAATGATTATTTTCTCAATGGTGACCTCCAATAGGAGGTATAGATGAAACAAACATTGGGGTTCCTTGACAGAGACGCCGCCTTAGTATGTAAATCAAAGAAATCCAACACACATTATCCTTCATGGTAGTGCGTGGTAGCAAATAACATCACGTTTTACGTAAAAGACAAGTTGTTGAACAAGAGCAAAGAATGTTATTTGGCCCCGTTTTTTCTCCGATAAGTATTAATTGTACTTTCATTTAATTTTAATTATATTATTAACTATTCTGAATGTTTATGCAGTAATCATTAGCAACTAATAATTATATGCCAGAAGCAAAATGTTGTAGTTATGTTTTGCTCGTTCCATAAGGAACTTTAATAAATTATGATTAACACTTTCAATTTTCAATGGGTAAGTGGTATTATTTTTAATACTCAAATGTTACCTTTAGTTTTTAATAGTTTTTATTAATGTTTAATTTTACCCGAGATGTGTAGAGTGGTGGAGAGATACAATACTCAGATCACCATATTTACAAGAAGATATACATGCAATCCGATCACATTGGACCAATATCTTCTTATCTTGTTATGAACCTCAATAACAATAGTTTTTCTTAGTTGTGCATATATGTAAATTTTTTATTTTGTATCGATGAGAACAATATAAAGTTAAGGAGAATAATGTAAATTTGTACATTTAATTTTGAACACAATGTAAATCTTGTATAATGCGTTGATAAGAACAGTGTAAATTTGTACATTTGATTTTAAAAGAAATATAAATCTTATATTCTATGTTGATGTGAATAATGTAAATTTGCACATTTGATTTTAAAAGTAATGTAAATCTTATATTCTATGTTAATGAGAACAGTGTAAATTTGTGGATTTAAAATGATTTGATTATGATTCTGTCAATATTTTGTTTTTGTGTAAAAACAATGATACAAGGCAGTCAAAATGAACTTTAAAACAAATTATATATGATAATAGATAAGATTTAACATCCCGGTTATTAAATAAAACTGACGTACCAACATAACTAATTATCTCGAATTTTAAATAAAATCGAAAAGTAAAGTGACGTGTGTTTCATGGTTTTTAAAATAAAAATATGTTGCTATGGATTGAACCAATTACATTTTTTATTATATTTCATGTTTTTTTTTTTTATAATCGGAGGGTAAAGTGACTAGTTTTTATATCACTATTTGTTACATCGTTTGGCGTAACCAAAATAAAATTCATTTTATGTTTGAGGTGAAATGTATTATTTATAGTTGAATTTATCATTTGTAGTATTATTTGAGGTGATACTTTGTACATGGAAGGGAAGATGCATTAAAAATTGAAGTTTGATTTATATATGACTTTTCATTACAAAAAGATTGTATTATTATGAATGATACATGGTTAGTTCTGTTCGACGAATTTACTTGGACAAATCATTAGTATGGATAAATAAATTTAAAAAGAGACGAAGTACTAACAAAATGATGATATTTCATATATTATAAATTATAACACACATTCAACACATTGATTCGAATTAAACTCTTTTCCACATATATAATGATAATACATAACCACAAGAGATTGATGAGTATCTATACCTCTTTTATTTAACACTAAACATTACTCATTCATGATATTTAATACTTTGAATGTGCATCATGTATCATGATATTATCAATTACCATTGTCAGAATCAACCCCATGTCCATGATGTCCATGACGGTGACCGTGTCGATGAAAACCCAAAAATTTGGCATCATTTAGTTCATTTGAGTTTTCAACAACCTCTGCAAACACCACATGATGTGAATTTAAATCTTAAACTATTTTTATAAAATAATATATATATATATATATATATATATATATATATATATATATATATATATATATATATATATATATATATATACACACACACACACACACACACACACCAGTAAATACAGCAGAATCAGTATATTGAAATTATAAGTATTTTAGTGAGAGTGGAAAAAAGGGAGGCAGAGCATATATAAAACTTGGTTATATTGAAATTGCGTACTTATAAAAGAAGGGAAAAACCCCTTATATAGGGATACAAAAGCTTACTATTTAAACCGGTAAAAGCTACCTATGATAGCCGGTTACAACAAACAAATATGAATTATTAATGCCGGGTACACATTGAGCCCCATCGACACAAAAATAATTCACAAACAACAAGACTTTCTTACACAATAAAGTAAAAGCAGGATTCCCTCTTATTTGCTTTTTCCAAGATAAGATTCTTATCTTTTTATTAGCTAACTTTCAAAATAAGAGTTCTTCTTATCTTTGCATGCATTTGAATTTAGGAAATTATTGCATTGTTCCTAGACAAGATAAGATTCTCTCTTGTCTTTTCTTTTTGTCTTGAGATTCTTTATCTCTTTACTTTGTCTTTTGCTTTCTGAGCCATGGATTGAATCATCGCATCTCAAAAATCTTCAGGAGTGGGGTAATCAGCTTGGGCTTCTCCTGCTAAATCGTCAAAGTTGTTGGAATCAATTGATCCCATATAAGAGCTAGTCTTCATAGATGAATTCTTATCTTTTGATGTTTTAGTTGGAAAAGTGGAGAAAAATTGGTTCTTCATATGATCCAGAGTCCTAACCATAATTTCTTCTTCTGATTCATTTGGATATTTTTTCTGAAAGAAGTTTTTTAAATTTCCCATAGACATTTGTTGTGAGCCTTACTCTTTGACTTTATTATTTTGGTCTTCAGCTATAGTTGCTTGAATCAGAATAATTTTATTCTGGATTTCTTCAGAACTCATCTTGTTCCACCATTTATAGAAGAAATTTCTTTCTAAAATGGGTATGTTGAATTTATTTTGAGATATGGTGACAGACCATCTCCATATCCATGGGATCTGAAATTTGGTAAAGAACCAAAATGGACATTGTCCTGTGATTAAATTATCAGATAAAATATTTATAATAAGTGGACTATTATCACACCAGGGATTGTATAAATCAAGTAATTCTTTGGGTAATATTTCCAAAGACGGACCAAATTTAGTCCACCATTCGTAAAACCAATTTGGTACGGGTTTATTAATCATTTCTGGATTAATAGAGAAAAACCAAGAATGCTTGTTCTTAGGATTTTGGTAATAAAAAGCTTGAGTGAAAGCTTGGACATAGTCCCAGTAATTGAAGTAGATATACTTTCCTTCAGCAATCCTTATTGCCTTTTCACCATTTGGGTTAAGACCCCACTCTCTGGGTAACAAGATTTTATTAATATGGCATTTACTAAATTTTATAAAACTTTCAGGATTATTGTTCTGGTAGTGGTGAGTAATTGTTACCGATTCGGTAACAGTCAAAAGAGTCTCTAGGTGAGGCCTAGATTTTCCATGAAGACCTAGATATCCTCTTGATTCGAGGTATCTGGTTTTGATAGACCATCCATCATTTGGATTTATCTTAATATCTTCTTCATCAATATACATGATTTTTTCAGTTACTGGATTTTCAAAATAATACATTTGCTCTTGAGATGGGTTATTAACCGCAATTTCCTTGTAGGATGTATTTTTATTAGAAGAGGGGGAAGCTATATCTTCCTTTTTTGATGAAGATGCAGGTAATTGCTGCATTTTTCTTCCTTTGTAAACTGTAGTCCAATCCCCTATTAGAGGAATGTTTGATTCTGGCTGGGGTAACATATTGTTACTCCCTCTTCCACCACGACCATAACCGCGGCCTCTCCGCCTATATGGGGTCATCATTCTTTCCCTGCAAAAATTCACGAGTTAAGTAGTCAGCAAGTGAATTATTCTCACCTTTAATGTGTTGAATGTCAAATTCAAACATAGATAATTGAGATTTCCAGCTAGCAAAGATTTACTTAGAAACAAGATTTTTAATATCTTTTTCAATAATTGATTTAGCTGAGCTCCAATCAATTTTTAATAAGAATTTCTTATTAAGAAGATCATCTTGAAATTTTGAAATATATTTTATAATAGAAAGCATTTCTTTCTTGATAGTAGAATATTTAGATTGGGTAGGATTCCATTTTTCAGAAGTAAATCTGACTAGAACTTCTTTTGATGTTTCAGGTATAACCTGTTTAAGGATTCCTCCATAGCCTAAGTCTGAAGCATCAGTTTCAACAATTTTAAAATACTTAGGGTTAGCAAGAGATAAACAAGACAAACATTTAACCTTATTTTTAATTCTTTGGACTGCCTGAGAATGTTCATTAGCCCAAGGGCCAGGATTTTTTCCAAGCCTAGTATGTAATATGGCAGTATCTTTAACAAGATATTTATAATAATCTGCTATGTAATTAAGACTACCAAGAAATCTTTGTAATTGTTTCTTATCTGTAATAATATTGGGGAATTTTGAAGCAAATTCAATACTTCTTTGTATAGGAATTATTGTTCCTTGGTCAATTTCATGACCTAAAAATCTAACTTTTGTTTGAAAAAGTTTCATTTTAGGAGCAAATATGACTAATTCATTATGTTTTATTAATCCTTTAAATATTTTTAAGTGTTTAACATGTTGATCTATAGTGTTAGAAAAAACTAAGACATCATCAATATAGACAATTATGAATCATGTATAAGGATTAAAAATATCATTCATAATATTTTGAAATTCGGAAGGGGCATTTTTAAGGCCAAAAGGAAGGACATTCCATTCATAATGTCCAAAAGGCACAATAAAGGTTGTTTTATACTTATTAGATTCATTAATCTGAATTTTCCAATAGCCAGATTTCATATCAAACTTAGAGAAGATTAAAGCATTGTTTAATCTATCTAAAAAGGTCTTTTTTTATTAGGAATATGATATCTAATCCATCTTAACACCTTATTAAGGGGTTTGTAATTAATAACAAGTCTAGGGACCCCACGTTCTTTTTCAGCAGCATTATTGACATAAAAAGCTGTGCAACTCCAAGGAGATTTGAATTTTCTTATCAATTTTTTCTCTAAAAGAGATTCTATCTCTTTTTTGCATAACTCCAAGTACTCATGGTTCATTTGAGCAGGCCTAACTTTGGTGGGAATCTAACTTTAATTAAAGTCATCAAGATAAGGTAAAGAAATAACATATTTCTTTCTATCCCAAAAAGCATTTGGCAAATCATTGCACACTTCATTTTTGAATTGGTTCTCAATCAATTTGATTTGTTCTCTTATCTCATTTTTATTAAGTTGTTCATTAATATTTAATAAACTAACTTCCTCTTTAAGAAAACCTAATTGTTTTTCTTTATTTATGAGAATACTTTTAACTTCATTAAACATTTTAATACGAGGATCAATAATAAATTCAAAAGTGACAGTTTTACCATTAATCATGATAGTAGTGCCTTTAGTGTCAACATTAATTAAAGGCATAATGCTATTTAAAAAAGGATTTCCAAGAATAACTCTATGAGTCATGTTTTTAACTAAGATGAAATGGGTAGGTAAACAAATATCTTGATTACAAACATATGTATTAGGTAATTTATAATTAACCGCTAATTTGTCACCACTAGCCTGAGCAAGGGTTTGAGTGGTTTTTGTATAATACTTGGTAGGAACAATTCCTTCCTGTAGACAATTAAGGTCAGCGCCACTATCAATAAGGGCGACTTCATTTTCTAAAATAAATGTTCTGTTAATAACTAAAGTTATTTTAACAAACCATTTTTGAGAAATTACTCCATCAATAAGAGTGAGAAATCTATTATTAGTAGAAGGACTGCTAGTAGAGGATATTTCTTCAACTTTAAGGTTACCTGTTTCAAGCAAGGAGACCCTTTGAGATAATTTTTTTATTATCTTTCTTTATCTGAGTAATTTCAGATTTCAAAAGATTAATTTCTTTGTTTAAATCAGTAAGGGAAACAGGAGTTTTACAGATATTGGATTGTTGAAATCTGGATAAAACCTCACTTAATTGATAGGGTGCTTCACTAATAATAGGAGATTCTTTTTTAGAAATTTCATTAATTAAAACTTCAAGCATTTTTCTTTTAAGGTTATTATCAAAAATAGACTCAATAGCCTTTATGGCTTCATCTTGTTAGATTAAAAAACTTCAAGCATTTTTCTTTTTTAACTGGCTATCATAGGTAACTTTTACCGGTTTAAATAGTAAGCCTTTGTATCCCTATATAAAGGGTTTTCCCCTTCTTTTGTAAGTACGCAATTTCAATATAATCAAGTTTTATATATGCTCTGCCTCCCTTCTTTTCTCTCTCACTAAAATACTTATAATTTCAATATACTGATTCAGCTATATATATATATATATATATATATATATATATATATATATATATATATATATATATATATATATATATATATATATATATATATATATATATATATATATAATGATGTGCTCTGAAAACATTTATATGTTAAGCTCAAATTATGAAAAATAATGTATAGCTAGCTCACCTTCAGTTAATTCTCTAGCTGACACCTCTGAGGAAATAAGAAGAACGATTGCCAATAGGCCAACAATGAGGATTGCTCTTTTGGAATCCATTGTACTCAATCAAGATCAATTGAAATGTGATATTTGGAAGTGAAGGATGAGAAAAATAGTAAGAAAGTGTGGTCTATATATAATGAAGGAAGTAGGAATCAATACGGAATCTTTACATGGTAGTGGGGATGGTAGCTAATCAATCTGATCTTTAAAACATGTAAAGATGAGAAAACAGTGAGGTTTTTGTCTTCTTGTTTTAAGCAGAAAATGACATTTTGCTTTAAATCAATCACGTACAGAAAAATATTTTAAAGTTGAAATACATATAGACTACTAATCAAATCACATTAATAAAAACTAGTTGCACAAGATTTTTGGCTAGTAATTTATAATATGAAGTATTTTTCTTTGTAATAAAAAATATCCCTTATTTAATTTTGATGATAATAAAAAAAGAGTTGCTATTTGGATATTACACCATCCAAAATACATCATGATTATATTTTATTTATGTCAGAAAAATGAAAAAATATAATTATTATATATAATAGAAAAAACAAAACCTTAGCTTTATACGGTGGAGGAATCACGAAACATGTAAGAATAAAATTTCTCTAATAAAAAAAATATGAGAATAATTTTGGTTATAAAATATATTTAAGTGTGCATATCCTATTATTAAACAAGACAAACAATGCATCTACTTAGGGATGACTTCAAGTTTCAATGTCTCCTTCATGTAGAATTATGGCATTTCTTTAGGGATGACCTAAGATTATGTTTAAGTGGTTCTAATATTTCTCTTCTCTCCCTCAAAGTTTATCTTTTTAATTTGTTTTTCGGATCCTTAAAGTTAAGTCTCTCATTTTTTTGAGTGGATTCGAACCAATTTTTTTTGGTGAGCTTCTGTATAAGTTGTTGATAAAGTTTTTGTAGATTAACTAGTTGATGTCATGGATAAAATAGTCTTCTCCAATCAATCGATACTTCTTAAAGATAAATTTTAAGGAGGATTTTTAGAAAGCATTTAATTCAGTTAGTTGGTGTTTTAGAGAGTATATTCTTATCATATTTGGTTTTAGTAAGAACGAGAGGTCTTGCATGAGGGCTTGTGTTTTTATAGGGAATCTTTTGGTGCAAGTGAATGGTTGTTTGACCAAAGAAATAAGTATCTAAAAGGGATGAAAGCAAGGCGACCCTTTAACCCCGTTTTTTTGTTGTTGTAGAAGGTTTAAGGAGGTTATTTAGGTGAAAGTTGATCCTAATTTTTTTGACTATGGAAAGAACTTTATTCATTGTAAACAAGATATTATTCCGTTCAAGTTCTTTTGATTTATCAATGTGGGAAACCTCTATCTTGGACAAAACACCACATAAATAAAACTCAAGCAGCTATAAATCTCACCCTATAGAGTTCATGCTTGATATCAAACCATCAAAATCAACATCAACAATTTAGAAAAATCTTAGAAAATCACCAAAAATCATATACCAAAACCAACTCAAAATCAAGACAAAACACTTGACCTGCTATTGGTTAAGGAAGATGATAGGTTCAGAAGAAAATCAAAGAAAGTACATGATTTCACTTCTGATATACCTAGAAACAATATCGAACCAAAAAAAACTCTTCTCCTTAATTTCTTTTATAGTTGTTATAACACTAGAAAAAATACCACCATTACAAACAATCTAAATAGACTCGACAAAAACATGTCAAATCATAGAAAAATCACCCATAGACTTATGCATACCACCTAAACAGGGAAAAAATAAAAAACGAAGTATATGTTTATTAGTAAAAACTTTAGCACCCTAACCACTGAATGATCTTATATCACACTGTCAAAGTTAGCTCGCAAACTACAAAAAGATAGGAAACTGACTCAACTAAACCTCCACACATGAGACAAGAGATCCCATCAGGATCAACAATCACCACTTGCTTAAACAAGTTCTTTCTTGAATGGTGTCTATCTTGTAAGAGCTATTAAGAAAAGACAACCACCTTATAAGGGACATAGCTAACTCAGATAAGGAGAATGGTCAAGTTTTTAACTAGATTCTAGGACAAAAAAGAGTTATTCAAGTATAGTTGAACATTGTAGGCAATGGTGACAAATAATATATCATTTTTGTATGGTTCTAACTCCACTAATCTCTCTCTCTCTCTCTCTCTCTCTCTCTCTCTCTCTCTCTCTCTCTCTCTTGAGAGAGAGAGAGAGAGTAATGCTTTGAATAACATAATGAAGGTTATTAATGACACGATAATTCACAAATAAAGATGAGTTTCCTCCACCTGCGATCTCATACAAGGTTTGTGTTTCCTACCGGTCAATCTCTTCCACCAACCCATTATGTAATTAGAGATCATAAACAAAATAGGGAACCTACTTTTAAGGAGAATATATGCTACTAAAGGATCCTTCCAAAAAGAAGTTTAGAAGCTCAATCCCACCCTCTTTAAGACTACACCGCCAAAAAACCAATTAGAAGAATCATATCCTTTGGACCCAATAAGAGATAACCATTTCCGCAGAGTAGAAATAGATTAGAAACTCAAAGTTATTCCCCCTCCCCTTAGCAAAAAAATAGAATGACTATATCTAGCTAAAAGATTATCACACTAAAGACCATAAACACCTGTAATCAATCTCCATCTTCGTTTAACTAAAACGTTAAATTAACCAGACAAAGATCCTAAATGAAACTCTCATCCATACGTACTCCGACCTGACTAACAGATCAATCCTGTTGATAAGAGGTACTTAAGAGCCTATCAAATATGACATTAAGGGAGTGGACACTACCTAAAAGAATGTCTAAAATGAGATAAGAAGGTTAGATCTCACTTTCTTTCTAAAGTTGAACACAAACTAATCAGAAGAATCCTCAGTTTTAGAGTTAAGAAGGGACATATCTTTTCACTATGACAAAATGTGAAAGCCATCATATAGGCCACATGAGGGGAGGAAGTAGCAAAGGCATTATATATGACTGATTAAATATGATAACAGAGATCAGATAAATTTTCCTTTCCCCTTTTTGTTGCTTTGTTATAAATTGGAAAAAGTACCCCTTGTATTCTATTTAATGATAGTGTTCCTTGTTTATAAAAAAAAATAGACCAAATTAGTCTGAAATGAGTCATCGCCTATATATATATATATATATATATATATATATATATATATATATATATATATATATATATATATATATATATATATATATATATATATATATATATATATATATATATATATATATATATATATATATATATATATATATATATATATATATATATATATATATATATATATATATATATATATATATATATATATATATATATATATATATATATATATATATATATATATATATCAAAAAGGTCAGATTGACCATGCGCAGATCCCAAATTAGCATTCCTTGTCAAACCACTAAATCCAAAAAATCTACGAATCACCAACGTCAATTTTTTCAATTAGTTATTCCCTCCGTCCCACAATTAGCGACTTATTTAAAATAAAAAGTGTCGCAAAATTAATAACTGTTCTGGACTAGGTCGGCGCTTAGCCCACAATCGAGCAAGCCCCAAACCCCGTTGGATTTGGGCCAAATAGGACCTCACGGACGGGCAGAAGATTTGTCGGGCACATCATCTTCCCCCGTCGGACACAGGGCAACAACCGTCGGACAGGACCCCTGTGGCTGTTCAGCTAGCCTCTTTCTCCCTCCGTGGTCGGGCAGAGCCCAGCCTGAACAGGGAGTTCATCAGACCTCCCCCACGTTCTCTACGTGTCCCCTATGCGGAGACACGTCATCAAGTAACTACTCGTGTCCTGGTGAATCGGTCCTCCACCTCCCGGATAGCACGGGACAGTTACACTAAGGTGAAGACCACGTGTTGGACTTCACGACGCCCCGTAAGCCCTAGCAGTTACTTACGTTGGGCCTGGCAGTCCAGCCCAACACAGAGTAACCGTTGGCCCTGCGCCGGGGGCTCATTATAAATACCCTCTTCCACTAGAGGGTCAGGTAACTCAACTTTCTCACTCTTTTCTCTGTACTTGTTATCACTCTGCTCGTCGCTTACTTTGGCATCGAAGTGTGTTCCAGGTACACCCCCCTCTGTCCATCAAGTCAGCAGTTCGACAGCTCAGACGAGTGGCAGCTCAGCGATGTCTCTGGTCAGGTACGATCAGTAACCAATTTAAATTTTCAATATACATTTTTCAATTCTACAATCTAATTGATATTATTTTTATCATTCCTAATATTTGATAAAAGACATTTTAGTAAATATATCATTGTCTTCTTTTTATTTATTCTTTATTTTAATCTATATTAAATGACAAACTAAATCATTTATTATAAAACAGAAGAAGTACTAAACTTATCATCAATTTATTGTGTGCAACTTAACCTTGCACAATCAACTAGATAAATAATACATTGTCAACGGAATGATTTATATAAAAAAGTGTATTAAATAACAGTGAAGTATGTTAGAAAAAAATTATTTAACTCTAAATGAATCATCTATTTTGTTCCAATATAGCAGTATCAAGAATTAAAATATATGCGGTATTGCATTGAGACATAGATGTTACGATTAAATAAAATATAGGATTCAAATTTCAAATTAAATATAATAGTTTTTTTAAGTATTAAAAAAGGGGTTTTTATTTATTTATTCTAAACGATTTTCTATTTTTCACATAATGGGTCCACGAGACATGGCTTCTTTTGAGAAAATCTAAGATGGATAATGTTTGCTAAAGTCACATGCATGCATTTTTAACTTTACCACACTTTGGCATCCCACTTGCGAATTTCACCACAATAACATGTCGGCAAGAACATTGATTAAATAAAAATAATGTCGGCAGAAACATTGATAAAATAAGTAAAAAAATGTATAAATATTTTTAAATAAGAATTATAAATATATAAAATTAATTATACTTAAATACATTTTTTATAGGTAAATAGGATCATTAAATAAGAGTAATAGAGATACTCTAACCCAAATATAAAAGATAGCGACT